CCTTTGATTTTCATGTTCCCCTCGCCTCCAGCTATCTCAACTTTTCTAACAAGAAGCGATGCTTCAGAGAGGAGCGGCAGCAGAAGGTCAGGACGGAGGCAGAATACCATCAGCTTATCAGTCTGCATACACACTGGTACACACACACACACGCACACACACACGCCTCTGTTCCTGTCAAATCCCAGTTCAAACATTGTTCTGCGGCCGTATGTGTTCTCTCCTCCTGTTCCCATCAGGTAGAAATGTCTTGGAAAACAGCATTTATTCCAGGGTGGAGTTTAACTCCTGATCTGCCTTAAACTGCGCTCTTTGTTGGTCAACGTGACGCCTCATCAAACCATCATCATGAACAGAAGACGCTGCCGCTCCTTAATGTTGAATTAGAATTTGTCACTCGGGTTCGTTAGCCGTTAGCCTCAGCTGTGTTGTGTTGTTCTAAAAGCTTTTTTGTTTTTTTTCCACCGTACAACTCACAGGGAAGTCTGTGCGTCACCATCGTTCAACCTGGGACAAAACCAGTGTTTCTAAATGATCATACTTTCATATAGTTTTATTTTTTCATTGTTATTGTCGGACTACAGCAGCGACAACGATATAAAACGTACAACGAGTCGGTGGATATTTAGCACAGGGTTGAGTTACATCGACTGACTGGAAAATTACCTGTATTTTAGCGTTTAAGGTTAGCATCTTTGTGTCGAAATGTTCCTATTGGCCCCCAGGGTCAGGGCGTGGTCTTTACCACGAACAGAACAGAACGTTCTGTTGAACTGAACGTCCGTGTGGTTCTAATAACTGTAATGAAAAAAACCTCCTCCTCTCTGAGGTCTGGACGTCTGCACACAGACAGCACGACTGTGGAGACTCAAAGACGTTTGACATTCCCGGTGCGTGTCATGCTAATATTGGTTCGATGTTTGACGGACGGACGGACGCCGACGTGTTTTTCCACGGGAGACGTTCCTAAAACAACAGTCATAAGCATCAGTGTGATGTGGAGGCTGCGGGGACGATGACAGCGGCTGTACACTACTCACATACTCACATACACATATTGACATTTTCAGCGATATATGAGGCCAGTCTGACGAGAATAAAAGCGCCGAGAGATATATTGAACCGGATTAGAATTCACAGCACAGAGCGCCGTGACCCTGACCACCGTCCTGCCAGACTGGAGAAACTGCTTTCTTTGCTCGGTTGAGTAATGTTTTACCACCAGATAAAATACCTTCGACCACTGAAAGAGGCTTTAGCTGCTGTTCAGACTCAGACTAAATAATAATAATAAAAAAACAAACAACTAAAATGTGTTCCCAAATGTCAGAATAATTAAAGTGGACACAAAAGCTTCTTCAGTAATTGATTACAGTTTTGTCATTATTGTATTATAAAATAAAACTGAAATTTGGGAATGTTTAATGAAGGAGCAGCGATTATTCAGTGTTGTGTAAAAGCTTCGTTGGCAGCGTTTTGATCCGACTCTCTAAAAGCTTCTAGAAACTGAATTTGGACAGAGTGTCGTGTGGTCCCGACCAGATGGTATCGGAATCTGCCTGAATGAATGGGAAGCGTCTCGGAGCTGTCAACTTTAGGTCTGTGAGAAACGCTTTATTCAGAGTCTGGTCCTGGTCTGGCCTCTCTCTCTCTCAGTGTTCACAGACGCCTGACGCCACTTCGCTGTTACCACCGCTCTGCACTTCAGGTCATTGTTAAGTGCTTGATTCACATTATGAATTTACATGCACTTTGGAGCTGTTTTTTTTTCTTTTTTTTTTTCCCTAAGAACAGCTTTTGTGATGTATTCTTTTTTTCTGGCGTTCATCATTCCTGCCGTGGTCTCGTCCCTGCAGCTGACAAGGACATCGCGCTCTGATACTGGTGGATTTTCCCAGGTTACGACAGGACATTTCCTGCACAGGATACTGGGAGGGATTAGTCACAAATCCAACACACCAGTTCATGTGGAGTATGAGTGCACAACTGCAACAGTAATGACTTATATATTTATATATGCAGGAATCAGTCCTGACACTGACCTTGGAAATTTGCTTCCCCCAAAGAAAAAAAAAAAGAATTCTGGAGCCACCAGATTCTTCCTCGTCTAAATCCATTAGAATTCCACATTTGCAAAACATTGATGCTGAAGACAGGAAAAAAAAGTCCTTTTAAAGCTGATGTACTTTAGTAAAGCTGGGGTTTTATTTACCAAGAAAATTGAGCGGTGAAATCCCAAACACAGCTAATACTGAGTACACAGAAACTAGAACACGGGCCTGAGGTGATGGATGGATGGATGGATGGATGGATCGGACATCTGCCTTTATATTTCTGCATGTTTTACTGCAGCATCATTTGCCCCCCCCACCTCATACTCCAGGTGTAAAACTACAGTATGTTTCATTTGTTCACCCTCATGTCTGTCATCCCTGAACTTCATGACTGTGTTTCTGCTCCACCTGAACCTCATCTGGTCCAACGGAATTCTCCGCTTGTTTCCCTCCGTTCACATTCATCTTCTGTCAGTTTTTCTTTTTCTTAGTGGTTTCAGTCTAAAGTCCAGCCCCTTCATTCTCCGTCTGTCGATTATTTTTTTCTTAGTGGTTTCAGTCTAACGTCCAGCCCCTTCATTCTCCGTCTGTCGTGGTTGGATGAGCAGATGTGTTTACATTTCCACACTAAGTACAATTAGCCGTCTCGTGGAGGCGTACCCGTGACGGCTACATCCTGGTAATTCCCTGTAATCGATTACATTGTTGCGGCCCTGCGCCTGGTCCTTGGGGGGTGGGGGGAGGTGGTTCTGTTTTCATTTGTTCAGGCGTCTGATTAAAGATTTTAAAATGCATGAGACTAATGCTACGTCGATTTAATTAGAAATAAACTGAAAATACTTGAAAGAAAATGCTGCGCGGCGTGAGTGTTGGGAGGAGCCGTGCTCCCAGAGTGGTTTAATCAGATTACTGTGATCCACTCTGTTGTTGGAGGACGGCCACTTTCCTTTTGTCTTTTTGTCCTGAGTGACCACACTCTTCATCGCTTCGTCTTCATCTTCCTCTTCCTTTTCTCTTTCTGTTTCCTCCCTGAGTCCCTCTCTCTCTCTCTCTGTTTATCTCTACCTCTCTCTCTCAGGTTGACACTCTCGTTAATCCCACTCTCACGGCAAAGTAGCAGTTTTTAAAAACTGCAGTACCTTGTCACCCCCCCCCAACATTATTTACATCTAGGTTACCACCAGTCGGGGCTCTTAAATCTTATTAATGGGCAAAAGAACCTGAGTCTTCACGGAGGCGGGGGGGCATCAGTTACTGTCAGTGTAATAACACACACACACGCACACACACCTGACTTTGTCACACAATGAATGCATCATGTGGTTGGGTATGTAAATAGGCTGCGCTGCATATGAATGTGCTGTGGCAGTAATGAGCAGAGCGCGCCCTCTGTCAGAGCTGCTGTACTGCACCCTGTCTCAGGTGTGTGCGGTCTCTTTTGTGTGCAGCGTGTGTGGAAACATTAATGCAGCCCATTATGGTTATAAACATCAGCTGAGTGCCAACATCAGTAGACATCGTGACTGAATTGGTGATTGACATGACGTCCCTCAGATGACTGAGATTAGAGACGGCGCCTCTGTGTGGCTGCCCACTGGGACTGCAGCTCAGGATTCTGACATTTTTTCTGGAAATAATCCTTTAACCATTAACAGGCTAGCATAGGAGTTCCTGTTGGAGCCGATCATGTGATCATGTTCCGTTTCTACCGTGCAGCTTAACTCAGTTTTCACTCTAAGTCAGACCGCACTGTGCATCGGTATCTCTGTGGCTAAGCTAACACGGTGCTAACATCATAATCTGGGATATAAAACCTTACACATAATGAATTCATTTTTTACCTCCTTCCTCAGAAATCCTGGAATCTTCCATATTCCAGGATCATTCCGTGCTGCCGTCGTGCTTCACACCTGTTGTTAATCATTTTCCCACCGTGACATCTGCATCGCCGCACGCCTCACGGAGCTAAAGTTTCCAGTCGTGGATTTGTATACGGCGCCGGGTCAGGCTAGCAATTAGCATCGCAGTCATTTACAGGGCGGCTGTTTAAAGGAATCCATAAAAAGAGCCCAAATATGCAGCGTCTGAAGTCGTTTAAATGGTGGCACTAAAGTGGATGTGATGTGCAGATTTCTAATTAGAGCTGGGAAAGGGATTAATGGTCCCTGCGAACGGCAACAGAAACCGTAAAGAGTGTTTACAGATCGCAAAGAGTCTGATGAGCAATGAGTGAAATACATTTTATTGAGAATATCATTTTCACGAGCCAATTAAATGCATAATATCTGCTAAATGGCTCTTGGTTTTCTCAGAGTATGTACTCTGTGGGTGTGTGTACTCTGTGTGTGTACTCTGTGTGTGTACTGCAGTTGTTTTCATTTTGAGTTGCTTTTACATCCATGTCTTTAAAAGACAGCGTTTCTTTTCCAGGTCGACGGTGTGTAATTCTTCTACTGCTGGATTCCGTCTAATTGTTTGTTGTCGTTAACGATCCGTACTGTTGTCATCGTACGCTGTCATCATCGTGTTCTACTTAGTCCTTCTGTGGGTCACTGGAGGCTGCTGGAGTCAGTCCCAGGGTGGGGGGAGGAGAGGGGGGCCGACATGATGGACAGTTCACCAGTCCATATGTTCATGTCCAAAAACAAACTCTTTGTTGTTCACCAGTCCATATATTCATGTCCAAAAACAAACTCTTTGTTGATGGTTTGTAACTTTCCAAGTGTAAATAATGGTTTAGTTTCAGAATATCACCAGAATTTAGGTCCAAACTTTTACTTATTTAACTTTCACCTACACACCGACACCGACACGTCTCCCCGGTGACAAATTGTTCAGTTTTCAATGTGCCTTTGTCATAATGGAAGCTGAGTTCAGTGGGAAACGTGTGGCACGGCAACAGAGATGGGTTTATTTAGCAGCGTCTTTGTCCTCTCTATCTGGCAGAGATCTCCGGCAACTCCGAGGACATCCCTCTTGTACGCTGGAAGCAGCAGTGGCTGGAGAACGGAACTCTGCTCTTCCACATCCATCACCAGGACGGCAGCCTGAGTCTCCCTGAACCCACCGAAGACCCCGCCAAAGACTCGGCAAAGGAGGAGCTGCGCATCCTGCACATCTCAGTCATGGTGAGGAAAAAAAAAATAGACATGATTTTTTTTTTTTATTAATCAGAATTAAAATCTAGGGTGCACTGTATGTGTCTTATGTTTACTAGTACAGTGTCACACACTTTTACACACACCGAGAGAAGACGGTTTTGTTTCACCTGAGAAGCTGAAGCTTAAACTACCACGTGGGGGATTTAGCTCTGACTAACTGACTGTGAAGGACTGTGGACTGAGTAACATTGTTTAAAAAGCACCGTAATGAACGAAATCAACCACCGACTCGTTCTTCCATATTAATAACTCCACCATTTGGATTAGTCACAAATAAGAACAGCGGTGAAACATCCATCTACCTGCTGTTAGACGTCTTTCTGTTTAAGAAATATATGGGGGAAAAAATGAAATGAATCCAGGATTAATCATGATTCATTAGTTGCCAGCTGCTCCGTTATTAATCAATGTTAAAATATCACATTGTTGAACTGGGATTTGACTTAAAATATAAAACAAAAATGTAAAATGCATCCGTTACCGCAGTGTCTCTGAGTGGAATACAATTTTCATTTTGTATATTTATATTTATTTATTTATTTGCATGCCTGCACAGTATCTAACCTTTTATTTTTTTGCATGCCTGCACAGTATCTAACCTTATCTGATGTTGGCAGAGTAAGAAATGAACGCCTGGACACAGCTTCCTCCTCCTCCTCCTCCTGCCTGAATAAATACATATGTTTGAGATGGTAGATAGGCCACACCCACTGCCCGCGGCCCTTCCTAGCTTAAAGACATTACATTAGGCCGTGATGAATGACGTGTATGTGCAGACCTTGAAAGCATAATTCATCTCGCATATTCAAATGATTAGTCAGCTCTCCACCTCTGCGCCTGCAGCTGCACCTGCTCAACGTGGCGTCTCATCTACGGCTGGTAAATGTCGTCCAGCTGAAGACCTGGAAATCAGGAAATAATGAGACATACGCAGGACTTGAATTAGCAAACGCTAGCAAACGGCTGTTTTGTGTGCAGTTTCCAGAGGTTAGACTGTCGTTAGGTTGTCGATGGTCGGGGCCTTGGGCTGCTAACCTCTTTGATTTCCCCCTAATCTCACACTTTTCTCCCCCCACTGCTCCTTCTGCATTTCACATTCCATCAACTTCAGGTCTGACTCTTTGTGCACCCTGCTCCACTAATTCCTCATTCTAAATGAGCTGCCGCCACCAGCCTGCTTTCATTAAGGAGTTTGTAGCAGAGGATTTGCATGCAGACATGAGCAGAGCATAACAACAGATGGGAGCGGGGCTTGTCACCGCGATCTTCAGGCCTCAGTGCAGCTTGACTCTTTGCTGGAAGCCCTGACATATAAATTACCTTCTTTGTGGATGCAGAGAGAGAGAGAGAGAGAGAGAGAGAGAGAGAGAGAGAGAGAGAGAGAGAGAGCTCGAGAGAGAGAGTCAAGGTGTGTTGGGTAACAGAAAGCTCATTCTAAATGAGCTGCCGCCACCAGCCTGCTTTCATTAAGGAGTTTGTAGCAGAGGATTTGCATGCAGACATGAGCAGAGCATAACAACAGATGGGAGCGGGGCTTGTCACCGCGATCTTCAGGCCTCAGTGCAGCTTGACTCTTTGCTGGAAGCCCTGACATATAAATTACCTTCTTTGTATAGGCAGAGAGAGAGAGAGAGAGAGAGAGAGAGACGCTGGAACGGTTCTGCTGCAGTTTTGGGGGTTTTTCTGTGTAGGTCAGTGAACAGCTGCCACCATTGTGTAGCACGGAGGCTGTGGGGCTCCATCACAGGGCACTTTTTATGGACTGGATGTACAACATTCAGCCTAACAAGGTGTCAGACACCGGCCATTGAAGTCATTCATCAAAGGCTGTGGATGTCTTGAGGAAAACTGCTCAGATATTGGAGCCGCTCTACCCGCAGCAGTACCATCGCATACCTTCTAGGTGTCGCTAACCCCCCCGTTAGGTACAGTAGCTGGGACTTTGAGTCAGTAATCAGTGTAGTCCAGTGTGGTGTACACCTCGGTGTTGGACTCATGGTCTGGTCTCAGGGCAGGACGGCACGGTGGGTAAAAAATGTGTGTTTCTGCAAACATGCAGCCTGGTGTTTCAGAGAACACTGGGAATTATGAATAAGTGAATGAATAATTTAACACAGTGGGATTAAATTCACAAAGACACGACGTTTTCCTTCTGTGTCAGAGCGTGTGCTGCACCACACTGTGTATCCAGAAGAACACGGACGCACATTAAAAAAAGAAATATATGCACAAAAACAACATGTGAAAAAATCATATATGTATATATGCACAAAAACAACTAACATGTGAAAAAATCATATATGTATATTTAATACAGAGGATCGTATGAACGTGGAGAAGTATTTCAGTACACGGTGTTCAGTATCTGTCAGCGCAGGAACCAGTGGTAAATAATTGACAGTTGAATATTTGTTAATGGCACAGAGTATGTGAATTAAAACACTCTGTGGATCGCTCCGCTCACTGATTGGTCGTTAGCTCTGCTCTCACAGATTTGAAAGCACGGTTCCATTAGACGCCAGTGCGTTTTTTGCTCCGTGGCGTTTGTTGATCTGGTCTTAGTTTTCGCGAGGAGCAGAACAGATAATCTGCCACAGTCGGACGAGCGGACGCCACCACCATGTTTATCCCTAATGAATGACTTGAGACTCTGCTGTTTTTTGGGCCTGAAATTTAGCCAGACTCATTACAGGCTGCTTCCAGAGTAGAACGGGGTTCACTGAAGTGCAGCGCGGCCGGTGCCGCAGGACAGAAAACAGATTTTTGTCAGAGAGACGAGCCAAACAGACTGACTCCACTGCAGATTGTTAGGTTTGTTTGTGAAAGTACCCCCCCTCCACCAGCAGGGTAGGTCGACGGCGATGTGTTTGTGATGTGCACTCGACTGTTCCGTGTTCCTCCTTTGGTTTTCATATGGAACAAGGTGACTCTTGTGTTGGTACGCTGCAGGTCATTCATAATAGATGACTGAGGTCGTGTCCTGTGAGCCCCGGACTGACACTCAGACACACAGACACACAGACACACAGACACACAGACACACAGACACTCAGACACACAGACACACGCCCGCCTTCAGTTGTTAGAAAATAAAAGTTTATGGCAGATATAAAAAAATAACCCCACTGTTTTAAAAACGAGCTCAAATATCAATCAAACCTGATTGGTTTTTTAATTCTGCTCCAGGAGCTGCAGGCTCGTCATCGACTCCACGGCCAAATACACCGAGGTAGTCAGTCCAACGGACAGGCCGGGATTAGACCCTGAGATTAACTGATGAACGTGAGTCTGGACAGATGTCGGCCGCACAATTCACCAGGAAGTATGTGCTGCACCGAGGGCAGTTAACATTTAACGTTTAACAATATCTGAAATATAGAAACGCTCTTCGGCCACTTTATAAAAAAATCAATTCAATCCACTACACCGTATTAAATAGTCCAAAGGACCATTTCTTGTCCGCGAGCCTTAGTTTGCCCAGAGTTCATGAAGTCGTAGTTCTATTCTACTGCAACTTTCTGGTTATTTACCTAAAAAATATCCAACAAAGATAGAATTTTTGACTAAAAAAAAAGGAGGATAAACTCTGTCCAATAAGGAGCCAAAGTCTGATTCCATGCATTACGATCTGTTTGCAGAGTTTGGCAGAATTTGTCCACAACCTTGGCTTTATTATTCCAGTAACAGTGTCCAGGCTGCCCCCCCTCTCCCTCCCACTCCCCCACCAATGTCCCCCCAGGTAGGAGTTTGCTGCAGATCAATTGTGTGAAAACAGGCCTCACTGTGCCCACTCAGCCTAGAAGGTGAGGGGCAGTGGAGTCTGGAGGAGCCATATGCTGCTGGATCTGGTTGGTGGAAAATATTAGCAGGACGCCTCTGTCTCAGACTGCTGAAACTGCCGGCCAATCAAAACAGGAGTAGACTATGTCAAAGGGAAACAAAAAAGGGGGAAATATTTTTACTTATTCATTAATTTATTCTTGATATTTATTTTTTTATCAGTGTGATAAATCTGTCAGAAAAACCACACGTCACGTTCCCCCTGGTGGTGGTCATGAGGCAGTTACTGGTCGTCCCGACTCATCAGTTTAACTCTAACTCATTATGGGATTAAGTCTGTTATTGTTGTACCATGTGTGTGAGCAGGGATAATGACTGTGTTTGAGAGGACGAGATTCACTCCCTCTGTCGTTCTCTCTCTCTCTCTCTCTCTTTCTCTCTGCTTCTCAAACACACACACACAGACTGATATAAAGCCCTGGTTTATTGGTCGGGCCGGTCAATGTGACACAGCTCTGCTCATGGGATATTGACATTCATGTGGTGAACATAGTAAAACCTGCCTGGGTAGCGTTGGAGGTATAAATCTTGAATCGATGCCGCCCCGGCCTCTTGTAAAGCCGTATCCTCGGCTCAGCTGCAGCCTCCAAAGTTGTTTCTCTGAGCTTCAAAGCGTGGCATGTTTTTGAAAAGCCAGACGCACCAATCTATAGCTTCTCTTTGGACGGAGAGGAACAGCACACGACCTCAGCAGCTCATAGTTCTGCTGAGTCTGTGATGCAGTCGACAGAGCGGCGTCGCATAAACACCAGCAACCGCAGGAACCAGGAGCATCAAGGGAGAAACAACAAACACACACACATATATGTATACATATATACATATATATGTTTAGGTTTTAATCTGATCTCAGTCAAAAGGATGGGATTACTGATATGATTATTATTAGAATTATAATTTCTCTGCGTGGTTCCTGTGGCAGTTGGAACGTCTCAGCAGTTGTTTCCCAGTCTTTGGTGAAGTCGTTGTCCTCAACAGCATTAATGAGTCTCCTGTCCCTCACTGCTGTGTCAGTCGACCTGTCAGTTGTGGAGTTATTTACCGTCTGACACCAGCCGGACGTCTCACCTGAGTCTGAAATGAAAACTCTTTGAGTGATGGAGAAATGATTGGAAATACATTAGTGT